GAAGGCAGTAATGGTGGCAGCCCTCCTGCCTGGTTGTAGAATCACGATTCGGGGTCTCCCCTTGTGCTCGCGGTTAATCGCACCGCACAGGTAGGAGGTGTGCAGGGTCGCCGGTCTCCGTCGGGTAGCTGGTGGCAGTGTCCCCCGCGCGCCGGAGCTGCCGCGGTTGCCGTTCGGGATTGTTACCCCGACTATGCCCCCCATCAGGAATATGAGACTTCGGTTCATGCGCCCTGCTTGAAGAACTTAGTATGCATGGTGATGCGTCAGCTTTCAATCCGTATATCAAGGCGAGAGTTTACGTGGTCTGACGGGGTGTTGGGGATTCATGATCAGGCGGGTGGACTGGGCCGAGACCCTCCACAATGCAGGTCTTTCGGGCTAGGGTTTAGGGACCTAGTGACACATAGGGCTCACCCAGACCCCAAAGAACCTACCTTTTAGGCTTCATCACTATGATTTTCTTCTATACTATACGTCATCCAGGCTCCAAGTAGGGCTAATGTTTGGGCTTCGGGCACCCTAAACCTGGGCTTTAAGGTTTATATACGGTTTTAGGCTTAGGGCTTTAGGCTTTAGGGTTTCGGGTTTAGGGTTTTAGGCTTAGGGCTTTAGGTTCGAGGGTTGGGGATGTACCTTTAAATACCAAACCCTACTTTTTTGTAGGTTCTTATTACAAACCCTAATATGGAATTTGTAGGGACCCTACAAAAAAGTAGGTTTTGGTAGGTTAAGGTAGGGTCCTCCCTCAACCTGCAAAGGCCGACCAAAGCTCCTCCCCACCCACTGCCCCGGCAGGGAGATCGCATCCCTCGACCTAAGCTGAGATTTCATGCTTCAAAGTAAGGCTTAAGGCTTTGAGGTTTAGGGTTAAGGTGAGATTTCATTCTTCAAAGCAAGGCTTAAGGCTTTGAGGTTTAGGGTTAAGGTGAGATTTGATGCTTCAAAGTAAGGCTCAAGGCTTTGAGGTTTAGGGTTCAGGTTTAGGCACTAAGGTTTTTGGGCCATCGGATCTGCGGCGTTTGGAGACCGTGGGATTTCAGGCTGAAGGGTTAAGTGCACAGGATTTCGGGCATAATTTCGGTTGAAAGTTTGGCTTGAAGGAGCTCGATATTCAAAATGAGGCTTTGGTGGGGCCCGGGGCCCGATTAGTTTCGGGCGGTTAGGGTTTTGGGTATATCTGCTCCCGACCCACCTCAAGATCCACCTGAATCCACCTCTGACGGCCTTTATAACACCCGAAAAGCACCTCAATGTCGGCTTCCTGTACTCTGAATCTAAGAGCCTAAACCTTATGGTGAGTGTCAGGCCCCTGCTCAGATGCCCTCTACGTGCAGTGGAGTGCCTCCATAAACCCTAAACCCTGGAAACATCTAGGAGTTAGGATTAGGGGGGACCCTAGTTTACTGGGGGTCCCTTGGCTCTCAATAAGGTACCTTCTCAGAGAGCAACTCCCTGATACTACCTAAAAAGGTTGCGGACTAATAGCCCCTGGCGATCCGGATGAGCTGTAAGGACTGTTGACATTTACCAACACTACTCCTCAGGGCCCCTGATTATTATGTTTGCACTATCATAAACCCCAAAGCAAAACCTATTCTAATTATTTAGGCTTCTTTAGTCAGATTCCAAGCTCCGAAATTTCTGTGCTGGGCCCCGGGCCACACTCATCGCGCCAACGAGGCAGGAGCAACTTTTATTCGGATCCCCTAAGCCTCCTGAAACCAGTAATCCACATCTACAGCGCTGACGCCTGATGAGGTCCGAATTCGAAAACCGCGAGCAACATACTTGACTGCAGACTGGATTTGTGGTGATCGATACATCACGTCAAGCAATGCGGGTGCAGGATCTCTGTTTAGGTCAGCCCCGTACACAACTGCCAAGACCCCTTTGAAGCACTTAAGCTTCTTTTCGGGGAGGTGAGACGCAGACTGGTAGCCGGTGGCGAACGGACATAGCACGCTGGTGCAATGGCAGTACCACCTCAACTTACCTCCTGGCTCCAAGCAGTGTGGTTGTTCACAAGGCCCGTTCGAAGGAGGATCCCTAAACCCTAAACCCCTATAAACCCTAAACCCTCAACCCCTCAACCCCTAAACCCTCAACCCCTAAACCCCAAACCCTAAACCCCTAAACCCTAAACCTGACCAAACTAAGATAGGAGCTTTTCTGGTGACGTGCGTATGTTAAACGCGCACCACGTGGAGCTTCCGGCATGCGGCCTTCTTGAAAGCGCCCCTCAAGCTCTCTATGTGAACACCTAGAATAGGATTTTGGGGCCCATTATACTGTAATTACAACAAGGAGCACCCAAAATAGTATAGGTAATTACTTCGGCCCTATATTACTGTTTAGGGTTTGGGGTTGTGGGTTTAGGGTTTCCAAACTACGATGAACAGACTTTATGGTTTAGGGCTGTGGGTTGAGGGTTTATCCCATGAGAAAGAAGCCACGATTTCACGAGCCCTGGTTGCTTGTGCAGGATTGTGCTCATCAGCAAGGTTTCCAGATGTTAACATTTAACAATACTATCACCTAGTCATGCACGGTACATGTAGAAAGTACCATGTCTGTTGCTAGACGGGTTTATGTAAGGTCTCGACGCCAAGCTTGAACATAAGTCTTGTCAGTCCTTATGCCTGTAAACCCACACCTAGATCACCCAACTGCCTCTTTTCGACATGGAAAAGGGACTGTTGATTGATATAGTTAAGGGCAGTGTGGGGCCAAGGCGTTAACCGTCCCGAATATTTGAAGCCCAGTCTTTTGCCACAGAACTCGCGCTGTAGGTCGCGATGTGCATGGCAGCTTCGGCACATTACGCTTCCGCCAGGTCCTCACCAACTCTTCGGGTGATGTCTGAAGGTTCCTTTTGCTAGCAAGTTGCAATGGCGGCTGAACCTCACGGAAGCACCTCCTGTCTTTAAGAGGAGGTATGTATATAAGTCACATAACGATCAAGACTTGTGCTTGTCCGAAGCTCTTAGCATTTGGCCCAAGGAGGAGAATCTTCCGCATCAGGCCTCGAAGGCTCTAAACCCGGTGTAATTTCCAAAGCCCGGCAACCCGAGCCTCCAAACCCTAAACACAAAGGAATCCCCTAAACGCTAAACCGAAAACGTACTTCGAAAACCCTAAACCAAAGAAACCCATGTCAACGAAAAGCCCCAAACCCCCTATACCCTAACCCCAAATCCGAAACTGTGAACTCCAAGCCCTAAACCCTAAACCCTAAGCCAGCCCTTCGAAGCCCTCATTCTGTGACCTAAGAAATCTGGGTTGTAGTTTTGGGGCTGTGAAAAGGTTTAGGGTTTAGGGTAACTGAATAAGTACCTCTATAGGAACCATAAGGGAAATTAAAAAGTTTCCCCAGTTGCCACCTAAGAAATCTTTTTCCTCGGCCCAGCGAAGCTCCGACGAGCAGCAGCAATCTGTACATGCCAGGCAGGGCTGTTACGGCTTGAGGGTTTAGGGGTTAAGGTATAAATAAGGACTCCATAAGGCTTCTATACTCCTAGATTTAGACTATTACAGCTAAGTTACTATAGCTGTACAGGGGTTATGAGGGAATACTCTTGCTACGTCTTCCAACCCCCATATTGGGGTCAGGGAAGGCAAGAAAGGAGATTGTATACTTTCCGTCTGAGTCGAACTGCGAACACCTCGTATTTAGGATCCGGGGTGCATTACGTCTGCATTCATTTCTTGTGCTCCCTGCTGTCCTAGTCCCTGAATCAGCATACTCCATCTGGCAAGTCTGCCGCCATCAAAAGATGAATTAGTCCCCACTCAGATCATGCCGAAGCCTTAGTTGAAGATCTAGGACTTTTTGATCTGCAGCAGAGCCGTGCTTCCGCAGGACTGTTTCGTCTAGAGACCAAGTAAAATCTAGACGACTGACGTTTTAGTATTTCTACAAGCCCCTTTACGGGTTTTAGGGTTCAGGGTTAGGTTTTTTAAGGGTTCAGGGTTTAGGGATCCTCAAATATAGTAGATTCTTCAGCAACTCGATTTTCAAATTAGCCTTTCCTGTTTATGCAAAAGATAAGATGAGCATAATTCCTACTCTCGAATACGGGGTTGTTGGTTTGAGGTAGGGGCTTTGGAGCTTTGCAGAATACGGTGTGCTGCCGAAGCGTTCAGCGGGCAATCCTCAAAGGTACTGGGGCTCCGTGTATTGAGATCCTTGCTGCAAAAGAGTTGTAGTGAGTTCTAAGACCCCACGTTGTGTCAAAATGTTGGTACCAGGCTAGACATCCAAGGCCCTAGCCCTAAGCCCTAAACCGCTAAAGCCCAAACCCTAAACCCTTAAACCCCCAACCGGTAAGTCTTAAACCCTAAACCGTTGAGCCTTAAAACGCTAAAGCCTAAAGCCTAAACCCTTAAACCCTAAACCGTTAAGCCTTAAACCCTAAACCGCTAAGCCCCAAGCCGGTAAGCCTTCAACCCTAAACCGTCAAACCCTAAACCCTGACCTTGGCCCCCAAGTCGACGCCCCAAGACTGTTCAGGCTACGCTGAACTCCAAATCACATAAAAGCCCTGCAAACCGTTGGTCAACATGAAAAGCCTGCAAGAGGCCCCAAACCCTAAAATCCGTAGACTCCATGCACTAATGACGTACTTTCGGATCAGGGGACACTGCAACATAGTGCTTCGAGCCTTAGGCTAAAGCTGAATCCAACCCTAAACCGTACTGTACCTACAGGAAGACGGGAATCGACGTGCATGGATGAATCGCCACGAGCCACACACACATGTTACTTGTCAATCCGTCGAACACTCTAGCAATACTCTGTCGAGGTTTAGTGATTCATCTTAATTCGCTGCTGCCGAATCCTTAACCTCAAAGCAAAAACCACAACTCATGAAACCCTTTACTCCTAAATAAGTATCGACCCTGAAACCTTACATCCTAAATCCCGAACTTCCACAATCGTTCAAACTTGTATAATTCATTCTAAACCCTAAACCCTAACCAGACTGGGTCGTGGCTGCCTATGCTTTGGCACCGGAAACGGGGACGCCCTGGACGACCGGGACGGCCTCGCATTGAGGTTTGCGGGTTTCGGAATTTACGCGGTGCAAAGATCCATGCTTAGGGTTAGGGCGAGGATATCCGGGAGTGTAACAACCAGGGATCCTAATATTGTCCCTATTTCGATTGAAACCGCCAAGGAAAAGGCCCGCAATACAGTACTACAGGGGCCTAAATAATTACCAATACTATTTTGGGGTGTTCTTCATATAGCTCCAAAACCTATTCTAGTTATTCAAGCCCCTATATTGCCTGCAAAAGGTTTGCGGGTTCACGGTTTAAATCCAGATTAGGATCTCTGGGCTGGGCCCGTCGTGCTCTGATCTCTTCGTTGACTTTTGAATCCCCTTCCCTCCGGCAGAGTCCCCCCTAAAAGAACAGCTGAAACTTCTGGCATCATTTCTTATGCATCTTATAAAGACCGCAAAAAGCTGAAGTCTTAACAAAGCCAACCAGAAGAGAGCCAAAGAAGTGCTTTATGATTGGCCTTATGCTTCCCAATACATGGGACCTTATGACACGAAGACTAAGCTGGTTGCGGGTCCGAAAACTTCCTGCGCGCGATCTGATGCTGCTGATGCGCATTGCCCGGGTTGCAGTCGGACACGCAACCCGACTGATGTTCATGATATGCACTGCCTGGACAGCCTTCGGATAAGCAAAAGCCAACTGATGCTCGTGACGCGCACGGCCCGCACTGTTCTGCACAAGCACAACTCAGCTGATGCTCATGATGCGCGCTGCCCGGGCTGCCATCGGATAAGCACAACCCAGCTGATGCTGCTGGTGCGCATTCGGACAAACACAACCAAGCTGATGGTCCTGACGCGCACGGCCCACACGGTTCTGCACAAGCACAACCCAGCTGATGCTCATGATGCGAACTGCTCGGGCTGCCATCAGACAAGCACAACCCAGCTGATGCTGCTGATGCGCATTGCCGGGCTGTACTGGGACAAACACAACCAAGTTGATGCTCGTGACGCGCACAGCCCACACTTCTGCACAAGCACAACCCAGCTGATGCTTGTGACGCGCACGGCCTGCACTGGTCTGCACAAGCACAACCCAGCTGATGCTCATGATGCGCACTGCCCGGGCTGCCATCGGACAAGCACAACCCAGCTGATGCTGCTGATGCGCATTGCTCGGGCATTCGGACGAAGACGACGAAGCTAATGCTTGTGACTTCACGGCGTGCACTGGTCTGCGCAAGCACAACCCAGCTGATGCTCGTGATGCGCGCTGCCAGGGCTGCCATTGGACAAGCACAACCAGCTAATGCTGCTGATGCGCATTGCTCCCGCTGCGTTCGGGCAAACACAACCAAGCTGATGCTCGTGACGAGCACGGCCCGCACTGTTCTGCGCAAGCACAACCCAACTGATGCTCATGATGCGCACTGCCCGGCCTTCCGCCGGACGCGCACGATGCTCATCATGCTCACAGCCCGGGTTGCATTCGGCCAAGCAAAACTCAATGCATGGCTTCCAGCAAAATCCGGCCTGGCCCTGCATCTGTGGCTGGGCCGCTGCGTGCTGTGCCGCGGCTTGCGCCTGCAAAGCCTGCATGGCTCTTCTGGGGATGGGTGTAGGCGGTTTAGGGTTTAGGGTAGGGGTTCATACTTGCAGGGTTTATAGGGTTTAGGGGTTTGGGGCTTGCAGTTCTAAGAGCTGTTGGTTTGGGTTTACAAAGCTTTGGGTTTAGGGCTTAGGGATTTAACGCTTTTCGGCGTAGGGGTTTAAGGATCGGGACGCATGCATATCCCAAGGACAAGGATGCGTCGAATATCTTCAGCATGGTTTCGAGGGCTTAGCATGGCCTTTCAATGTCCCTGTAACTATGTCTTCGCCGCAACAAAGCAAACCGACAAAACGTTCTCCTCATTGACCACTGTAGCCTGTTGCACATTCACATCCTTAAGTTCAAAAGCCCAACCCCCCCTTGTTGAGCCACTTTAGCACTTTATGCCCGCAACCCGAGACGCCAAATCTTAAACAAGTAGTTCCTTTTTGGGATTACCTTTTAAAATTCTATATACGAACCCCAACAAAGACCTACTTTGGGGCCTTTGGGTCAACCCAACACAACACACAACTCGCAGCTGCAGCCCTGGCATCAAAACGCACCATGTAGATGGGTGGTTGTCAAAATTATGGTCCCCTTTTTGGGTCCTTATTATTCTACGGCACCTATTATTTAGGGTACCCCAAAAAGGGACCCTAATTTTCACAACTACCCAGATCGAAGTGCTTGGAGTTTCAGAAAGTGCGAGACTCCAACGCGGGAGCCGAGCTAGGGTCCTTATTAGGGACCCAGAAAAGGACCTAAACAAAAACCATAAGGCTGGGATATCCCAGAATCCCCTCTTTAATTAAGACAAGAAGATAGGGATATCCCACCCGAAAGTTTATGTTTGGGTGCTTCTTTGGCTCCTGACTTATGGACCAAGGATCCACCTCTCTCAAAACAGGGAGTTTTCCTCATTTCCTGCAACCAGAATATTCAGAAATGACAGCGTAAACCCTAAACCCGAATGCTCTGAACTCTGAAACGGCAGGTAGCCTGCTGAAGTGCCGGAGGTACGGGAGGTGCAGCAGCAGCACGAGCGGCGAAGACATCCCCCAGAACCTGCTCGCGGATGTCCTCTGCTCAAACTTTCGGTGGTCTTCTTGATCTGAACGGGGGTCATGAGGGTTTGCGGAGGTGATGAGGTTTCCGTAAAGGTTCGTTTTACTGGGTTTTGATAGGGGTTTGTAACGGTTTCTATTTTGGGTTTTCAATTTTGAATAGCAGCTTCTGAAGTTTTGCCCTATACTGTACCATTTGGGATCCCCTATTTCCGAAACCCAAATTCCTGCCATGGGAACTTGGGGCACTGGGCCCTCAATTCTTGCCAAGTTGGCCGTAAAAATCAGGGCCGTGGGAGTTGGCATAGGATTTCGGGATACACCATCCTAGAATTACCCTAACCCTAAACCCTAATCCGCTCCTGCCGTGTGGTGGAGGGCTCTGCAGCCTCTTGCATCTTTGCAGCTGCCTTCAAGGCCAGGGGATTCGGCTGTAGGGTTCACCTTAAGCCGGAATAACCTACCTTTTTAGGGTTCCCTATTATGATTTCCTTATATAAGTCCTTAAAAAGGTAGGTTCTTCCGGCTTAAGGTAGGGTCTGCGCTTTTTTTTTGAACGCCTTTTTCCACCTGCTCGATCTATCCTCGCAGTCAGAAGACCTACTGGCCAGGAAGGGTTTGCGGGTTTAGTGCTTGGGGTTTGGGGTTTACGGTTAGGGGTTTAGGATACAGGGTGCTTCAGATTGAAAACCATACCAACAAGGGTTAGATTTTTAGGGTTTATTGGGTCTCGGGAGTAAATATTTCAGGTTTAGATCATCAAGGTTTAAATGACTATTGCCTAGATAATTTCAGCTTAGGGTTTGGGGTTTTGTTTGCAGGCAGTTTTCCTGATATACGTACCTTCAACCAGCAGAACCGAGTTTGGTCTAAACTTAGGCCTTTAGGTCCAAGTAAGGACGGTAGGAACCAGTAGCAAATCGAGTGCATAACTCAGCTCACATGTCGACGAAGATCTAGAAGCTAGCAAACGGGCATCACCAATCATTGCCTCAGCTCGGCGTCCCCCATCGCCACGTGCCCGCGTCCACGACAGTATATCTTTAGCCAGGACATCTTCGTTGATGCACGCCATAGTAAATGCTGTACTCAACACATAACACAGCCACAACCTTCAGAACTCTACTAGGGCATCGAACTCAACCCAACGCCTTCAAGTGCTAAGATCCCTATAAACTCTAACCCTAACCCTAAACTCTAAACAACCCTTAAGCCTAAACTCTCAACCCCGAATTCCTGAAACCGTCCGGTGGGCCTCCTCTGGGCTCAACAGCTCTGCTGGACGTGCCTGTTGCGCCAAGCAGCGAGTTGCACTCTAACAGAGTGCCATGTAGCAGTTTCCGAAAATAGGGGACCCTGATATAATTTCCTAAGTAGTAGGATCCTTATGATAAGGACCCCATCAAAAAGGTACCCCTAATTTCCGGAAACTCCCATTTGAGTGTCGTTCATGCTGGAGGTTTCTATACGAACGGCGAGGAAACCACCCTCGCAGCCGCCCCCAGCGCCACCGCCACCAGCACCGGCACCATAACCACGACAACAGCCACAACAGCACCAGGGGATGGTGTTAAATGCTATGGATGATGAACACTTAACTTTGGCAAAGGCAAATGTCACCGCAGTTGTGATGCTGATGCTGAAGATGCTGGTGGTTCAGTGGTTTATGGCCTCAGAGGGTCGGTAACGCTATCACATTCCGGGCCACGGATATGCGAGTTTACAGAATGCTTCAAAATTCACGGCATACAGCTTCGGGGTGGCAGGGTCTGAACCCTACAGCCCGAAGCCTCCGAACCTAGACAACCCCACGGAACTTACGACATCCTGACTCCGGACCCCGAATGCAACCTTGCGGTTCACCATGGCGCTGACAGATCCCATCACTGCCGTGCCCACGATCTGCAGGGGAACAGCAGGAAGCTTGGGCTTAGCTCGGGCATCCTATTTTCGAAGGCTCAACCGTAAGGAGTGGATAGGGTTCACCTGTCTCAGTTTATGGGCCTCCTTATGATGGCATATAGCCTGCGGCTCATTTGCCTAGTTTGAGGGACCTAAAACCCTAAACCCTGTAAACCCTAAAGTTTCAGCGCCTCTTGGTAGCCTAGAAATGCATGGGAGCTGTTGAGCCACAGGGCGTATCTAGACCCCAAACCCAAACATCCTACCTTTTTCAGGACTTACACAAGGAAATCATAATGGGGAACCCCAAAAAGGTAATTGGAGGTTCATGGGTAGTTATAAGTGGAGTTATTAGTCCCTTCATATGGGTTATAACTATAGTTACCCTTTTAACTGCCCATGAACCTCTAAGTAGGTCATTTAAGGTAGGGCTTCAGAAGCTTTGGCCTGCCTCGAACAGAAGCCAAAAGCCAAAGAAGGCGGGGGAGTAGAGAGACTTTTAATGATCAGAATAGGGTTCTTTATACTACAAGTATAATAAGGAACCCCAGAAATAGTGTTGGCAATTAATCAGGCCTCTGTATTAGAGAGAGACTTTAATAACTGGACTAGGCTTTTGGCGCATATTGTACAGTGCTGTTAAAACACTCCGAAGGGGATATTGTGGAGTCGTGTAGGCACTGGAACGGGACATTAAAGTTCCCCAAACAGTGCGGTACACTCTATGGGGTTCTTACATTGGGGGTAGAAAGAGAATTTTGTAAGCGAGACCGAAAGGGGATTGGGGAAGCATCTTTTGGGCGTCGCGCCCTGCTGGCGTCATGGTGGTACCTGGGTGATCTCCTGGGCTCTATGTCCCCTGGTGGTCTCCTCGTGCTCCACTGGTGTGTCGCGGTGGTCGTGGTCGTCACCGTGCACGATACTAGGATCTCTGCTTACCAACGTGTAAGGGCTACTGTACTAGACCTCGAAACCCACAATGCACACGGTTTGTCTCTTCACGGCCTGCTGTTGTAAGGTATCATTCGATTTGTGAAATCCCGAAGGATCCAATGATCTGCTTCAGCTGCAGCAAGTACCAACGCAACGCTTTTGGTCTTTGTTTCGACTATTGTAAACCCCAAAAAGTTGGAAACCTAATTAAGGACACATCGTGCTGGGATTCCCTATACTTTGCTCTAAGGGTTTGAAGCTATCGGGTTTCCAACTTTTAGGCTTCTGCTGTAGGGGGTACGGTGTAGGGCTCCGGGAGAAGCAATGGCCACCCGACCCCCCCGAAGCCATGGGTTTAGATTTTAAATGCTGGCATCCGAACTTTGAAACCCTGAACCCTAAAGGTCCCAAACCACCAACCATCAATATAGAAAAAGGCTCGAGGCGTTAAGTATGACTATATGTGGAAACCATAATTGCGTACTACCACTAAGTGTACAAACCACGCCAGACTTATATAATCTAACTTGACCAGCTGCCTAGCGGAAGTAAAGGTTTATTTAACCTTGGCAGTGATGACAGGATTCTTGTCCCCCTAAAGCATTGAGGGCTCCGTACTCTACAAAGAAGGTACTAATCAACTACCGAAAACCCCTAACATCCTGAGCCCATAAACCCTAAACCCCTAACATCCTAAGCCCCTAAACCCTAAACCCCTAACATCCTAAGCCCCTAAACCCTAAACCCCAAGCCCCTAAGGTCAAAGCCAAAAACTTGGAATATGATTATCCTAACCCTTCTATGGTAAATTATAAGGTATCTTACCTTGAAACAATATTCCAACTTTCTGGAGTTCCCTGTATAGTAGAAGCCGAAAAGTTGGAAACCCAGTCGCCTCAATCCTTAGGAGTAATGCATAGGGAATCCCAGCACTATTTGGCCGTAACCCTATAAACTCGAAGATCCCACCTTGATCGTCACCCCCGAGTTTGACACCGTCTCGGCCACACTGCCGGAGCCTGGATTTCTTAAAACGGCTCCTTCAAAGGGCATCTAATAAAGGTTCTATAGTAGAGGGTTTTACAAAAACCCTCTATAAAGGTTCTAGAATAGAGGGTTTTATAAAAAAAACCCTCTATAAAGGTTCTATAAGGGGGTTTTGGGGGGTTACTTGGAGGCCCAGGGGACTTAGTAAGTAGGTTATATGAGAGTTTCCGAGAATAGGGGACCCTAGTGTAGTACCCGAAATAGCAGGATCCTTCTTATCAGGACCCCCAAAATAAGGTACCCCCTAATTTTCGGAAACCCTAGACCCTTATAGACCTATAGTGCCCTTATAGTAGCCCTCTTTGAAGGAACCCCTATGGTACCCTGTCGCTCACCAAATATTGGTTGTTCGTTGGGATTTTCCCCTGCAGAACCTGATGCCATGTTAATCTTCTCAATGACGTCCAAAGTCAGGAGTCGGGGCAAACGACATGGGCTTACAGCAGTCTGCAATCGAATTTTCACTCAGAAACCAAGCTGCTTCAATGAGTAGTCGGTCGAACATCTCTCTGCTCTTAGGATTGACTAATCCATGTCCTAAGACACGTGATCAGTGGTTTGGAGCTCAGCTCCGTCATAAGCCCTCACGGCTGAGAAGAAAACTGTACTCGTGAGTGGAACTCGACCCTCCATGGTTAGGACACGGGGAATTCTACACTCCTCCTTGGACGCATCGTTTCTTAGAAACGGAAGTCCACTATCGACGTCCCCGTTCCCTCAGGGTCTGAAGGCAATACCTACAGAACATTCTCCGGTTAGTGCTAGTCATACTACGGAGGACGTGACAGTCAGGAAAGATATGAAGGGCCCCAGGTGTCCTGGAGCTACTGGTAATCGTCTCTAACTCGCAAAGCTGGCTATCTGACAATCCCTGTGGACCATCAGTCTGTACCGCAGCTTCACATGTTTCCCGAGAATCAACTCTTCCCTTTACCCCACCTACCTTAACCGGAGCAGTAGGAAGAGGAGGTGGTGGCGGAATTCCAGCGCTGAATCCACTTGGCTGACTTCCGCAAACCCACGGTCGATCATTGGGCTGAAATTGAATTGGCGATGGGCTTGTAGGTGGAGGCTCTGAGCTGGAAGAAGAGAGGTGTAGGTGGATCTGCGATGATACCTGGGCCGAAGGTGGTGAAGGCGGTGGAGGTGGTGGCTCCTCCTGACGCTCGCCCTTCCTTTGGCGCAGTTCATTTTCGAGTTCCATTTCTACAGCCTTTCGAACAGCTTCAGACCTTTTCTCTCGCTTAGCCACCGCATCATCATGGTTAACCACTGCCACAACCGGATCTGAATCCCTGCTCCTCTGGCACTCTCTGATGCAATGCTTCCCAAGCTCCCAAACGAAGAGTACTGAAAAGGCCATCATCACTGCCAAAACATACAAGTCCAGGCTTAGATTTTCCCCTTCTTCCTCCTCCTGGGAGGCAACCGGAGTCACCTGCAGCATCATTACAGGGAACTACCGAAGTCGCAACGCATGTCAGCAAATCGGAGCATACCTTCGGGGAAGCGAAAACGCTAGGTCGTAACATTCCGCGGTGTAGTTGGTGATACGGGTTCCTTGCCAAAGTCCCTTTAGTACCACGTGTGGTGTCCGGGCTGGATTGTGCTTGGTAGTAGTACAACTTTAGTACTGGAAATGCCTCGTTTGGCGTCCTGGCTGGATTGTGCTTGGTTGTAGTACAACTTTAGTACTGGAAATGCCTCGCTTGGCGTCCGGGCTGGATTGTGCTTGGTTGTAGAACAACTTTAGTACTGGAAATGCTTCGTTTGGCGTCCTGGCTGGATTGTGCTTGGTAGTAGTACAACTTTAGTACTGGAAATGCCTCGTTTGGCGTCCGGGCTGGATTGTGCTTGGAAATGCCTCGTTTGGCGTCCTGGCTGGATTGTGCTTGGTTGCAGTACAGCTTTAGCACTGGAAGTGCCTCTTGTTGCTTCCAAGCCCACGGTTCGGTAGAAAGTTTCAGACGCGGTGTGTGGAAACCATGTTTTGTGTCAGGCGCGGTTACTTGGGGGAAACAGCAAATGTTATGACTTCTTATCAGCGCTGAACATGCGGAAGCGACCTTGCAGACTACTCAAATATCCCGCGGTGACATGGTGGAAAGCGATTTTGTTATGACTTCCGAAAATGAGTCGTAACGCGCGGTTAGTTGCGGGAAGGCTCGCCCACCGTTTTTGTTATGACTTCGGTGTTTACCTGTAATGCCAGAACCAACATTATACTTTGTCCCTCTGTGGGATCAAGATTCTGAAATGCACTGGACGTTGGAATGACTGCTTGGACTATGGGATCGACTGCCGGAGGGGGCCCTATACCCAAGAGCTGGTTGAGGTCTAATACCCTAGGGGCCGGGAGCGCCTTTGTAAGGGTGTCTGCCAGTTGTATTTCTCCTGGGCAATGTACAACCTTCAAGGAATTTTTCTCAAGCATTTCCTTTAAGAAGCATGCTCTTACTCTCAAATCTTCACGGCTCTGGGCAGCTGTGCAAAAAAGAACTTTTTTGCGACATTGCTACTATATAACCCCGCCACCACCGGATGCATGGTTTTCACAATTTAGTGAAATGTGTATATAGTTAAGGTTGTAGGGCTTAGGGTAGAAGCTGCTGCCGCCCACACGCGGCCAGTGGTTGTCCAACCTGGCAGGCAGCGGTTGAGGGTGTAGGGGTTTTAGGGTTTGCGGCTTCGGAGTTGTCTCCACTTGGCTCGGACCCTCCATTTTCACGCCTCCCAAACTCTCAAGCAATCAGCTCTTGATGCACGGGTAGGATTTAAGGTTTGGAATATGTATAAGAGGCTGATGAAAACCTACGAGGCATCAATCACTGTGGAGGACAGAAAGCTTCGTAAGCAGCCCTTCCAGCGTTAGCTGCTGGGGGTTCAAAGTGGTTGCTGGCTGCACAATGGCTTCAAAGCTAAGACGTGGGAACTCGGGATCGTCAGGCATTGCCCCCTTGTATACGTGTAAGTGGCCTCGCTTAGACTTGCCACTGCTTCGCTCAGCGAAGGCAGATAACAAAGCTGAGTGCCTGGGCCATGCCGCTTCAAACTCGGAAGTCAACCAGATATGAAGGTGCAAGAAAGCTGCAGCCTGAAACGAGATTGAAGATCCTTTGAGGCCATTGGACATGAACCACGGTCGATCGGCAATCCGGATACCTCGCATGCGAGCCACAAGTCCCTCAGGCGTTGCCAATCCAGGCCCCAACTCGCGGAACACCACGACATTCGCTTCCCACCAATCTGTGGTCTGACGAAACCTGGCCGCTGGTTTCTCATCGGGCCAGGAGAGTCCTGAAACTGTCTTGTTTTTTTAAAGATTTTTTAGTGTATGGGCTACAATGAGAATTCGAATTCAATCCGTATTGAATCATGCAGCGGTTCGATCCTCAAACCCCTTTCTATTAAACCGGAAAATAATAAAGAATAATCATTCAGGGCACCATTCGCCATCAGCACCTTGACCTTGTTGCCCAGAGGTGGTGCCCGCTCGGTACTCTTCTTGCACGACTCCAGCTGCTTGTCGATGGATTGCAAAAAAACCCCGCCGCGCACGTCGACATGAGGCACCTTCTCGCCCAAGCGGGTTGCCATCGCCACCTTCCGCTTCTTCGCTGCAACCATGTCCTGCTCGGCCTCTATCTCTTCCAGCGATTTCTTGTGGGAGGATGCAGGGTCGGTCGCATTCTTCTTGTCTTTCTTCTCCTTTTTGTGTTTCTTGTCCTTTTTGTTCTTTTTGTGTTTCTTGTCTTTCTTGTCTTTCTTGTCCTTCTTCTCCTTTTTGTCCTTCGTCTTCTCCCGCTTGTTCTCCTCCTCGCATTTGTCCACTGGTGCACTGCCACTGCTGCAGGGCGGATTCGGAGGGCAAGCAGAAGATGCCGCTGAAGAAACACCACTTCTGACAGCAGTAACCTCGCTCACAGCAATGACAATCTCATCCAACCGTCGATTGCTTGAAGATGCCCTGGGCCCATCTTGCAAAGTTTCCTTCTGCATGCCAGCAACCGTTGACGAGATGCACCTGGAGTGTGCCTGCAGTTTGGCCCGTACGGATTCTGGGTTTGCCTCACGAAGTCCAGCCAGGCGTGGCTTGTCCGATCCCGAAGCTCCATTTCTTCGCTGCTCAGTTTCGCGTGCACCGAAAAACTCTTTATATACAGCCTGTGCCTGCACAGCAAACTTGGAAGGCTTCCAGTTGCCACTAGCATCCCTGCCGTCCCGAAGACTGTCAGCAGAAGCGCACCCATGCACACTCAACTTCACAGCGTCTTGAAGAGCGTAGATGTGCAATCTGTGAGCTCTGTTTTTCAACTCTGTGACAGAAACTTCGTGCAGATTCCGTTCGACTGATGCCGTGGACGTTCCAATCGTCAAAGTGTGTTGCACCAGCCAGCATGCCTCCAAGCGCACCGCGGCCTGCTCCTTCCGAAGCTCTCGAAGTGTGGCCAACCAGGCATTGTTGGAGCCCTGGCGCTGTTCCTTCAGATGCCAGAACGCTCTGGCGAGCAGGCCGCCAGCACCAAGCCCGTCATCGCTACCTCCGCCGCTCAGCTGCTTCCTGGAAATGTGGGCTGGAAGACAAGATCAAAAGAACAAACAACTTCATACAAGACTTAAAGCTACCACCAAACAAAGTGCCTTCTAATGCATGGGCTCACCATGTTTTCGCACCGTCCATTTGGTTCTGTTGGGCAATAGACTGCACCAGTTCTCCCCGCTGGGACAGCGTCAGATCATTTTCCAAGTCCATAGCAGCAAAAGCATTGCTATATTCATGGCGAGGAAAATTTGAATCAAAAAAGGCCTTGTAGATTCTGTACACCTTCTTAGCCACTTGTCGAGATATCGTGAGGTCGCCTTCGGAGACATCCCAAACAGCTACCGCCCTGAGTGGGCGAGGGCCCCGGCTACCCGTGGTACGATTCCCAAGAAAAGTTATGATACCGATATCTTGGAGGGTGCGGATCAC